GAGCCGAGAAAGATTTCTTTAAACGATTTTTCTATACATTTTTGAGGAATCTTTTTGAAAGAAACTTAGGTCTTTGAGGACTGAGCTGTCACGATTTATATGAAATCTTTTAAGGAATTTTAGGCTTGGGGAAAATAATTCCTGCAGAGCAAATCCTTCTCTGCCCAGCTAAAGGTTTCTAATTGAGGTAGAATATTTTGAAGACTCTTATATTTCCTTGTCTTTGCTGAAAAAAATTCTTCAATTAGATTTATTGGTAGGCAGTACTTAAAAATGAAGTGAGATTTTCTAAGAATTATGTTGAGTTGATGAACCAGTTTCAACTGCCTCCTGCCCCCTATTGGGGCCTCCCCCCCATTCTAGCTTAAAGAGTTTTTACCATTCTTCTGTCAAAGTATCTAGCTCAGTATGATCTGATTTTCTTCTTTCTTTAGTTATGAAATCTGGAGATGTTATTTCTGTATACTCTGATATTAAAGGAGAATGTAAGAAAGGAGCCAAAGAATTTGATGGAACAAAAGTATTTCTTGGAAATGGGATTTCTGAAGTCAGCCGCAAGGAACTCTTCAGCGGGTTGCCTCAACTAAGGTATGTCATCCAGTCTCACAGGGGAAATGAACATCCTCTTTGTGGTTTAAAGAAAAAACAGTGAAAAACACATCGAGTTGCATTATATGAATTTTTTTTTTTGGTATAAGTTTATCTGGAAAAAAATTGTTTAACTCATATTTCTATGATTTTTTTGAAAAAGTTCCTCTTAGTCAAAAAGGGTAAATGTTGAGATTAAAGAGTCTAAGTGAGCAACTAGTCACACTGCAATTGTCAAATAATTTTGCTTTTCATTTTGAACTTTATGTGAAATTTTTTGCTCTTTGAAACACAGTGCTTATCTCAGTAGTGAGTGAATTAGATGACCTACCTAAAACTCTTTTAAAAACATTCTGATTTTATTAAAAGTTTATGATTTTAATAGGAATTAAAAATGATTTTTTAATTGTAAAAACAAATTTTTACAAGAAAGCCAACACTAACAGGACTGTTTCCGGTCAGAAATTAATGTTTGAATTTGTTCAAACCAAATTGAAATCTAAATCATCTCTTGTTGGCTGGTGACTATAAATAAATTAAATTCATGGAAAATCTAGGCTCTTATTTTACTTAGTTTTTTAGCCTGTTTTAGGAGTTCCATGGACAGCTCCATTAATCTAGAGTCAGCAGCTGACACTGACATCCTGAAAGCTATGGATTTATCCATCTAGAATTGGACCATGTCTTTGGTTCTCAGAACAATTTTCATGTTCAGCAATTTGAGTTTATAGTTGAAATTCCTTCTTCTGAAAAAACAGACCGTTGGATTCCCTAGATCTAGATAGCAATACTTTCCAAATGGTCAAGAACAAAGATTTAATTCTCCTTAGGAGGCTCTATGAATGTAAAAAACTGCGTCTATCTGCTGTGTTTGTCTTTGGGTCTGTAAGAAGAAGTTGATACTCTGACCTCCTCCTTTATTTAGTTCATTATTAACAATATACTCTTCATTCTCTTATTTGATCTGGTAGTTCCTGATATTGGGCCAAGTAATGTTTTATGAACAGTGTTCTAAATAATTTTTTGTTGGTGGGAGTTAGGAGATTAGGTGACAGCCATCTTTCAAAAACTGTTGGTTTTTAACAGGTGTCCTCAAACTATAGCCTGCAGGCCACATGCGGCCTGCCTAGGACATTTATCTGGCCCTCCGGGTGTTTTTGCCGCCATTGCCTGTCCTGTTTAGCAGCTGACTTGTCCCTGGGCCACAGTCCAGCACTCCAATGGTCTGAGGGACAGTGAACTGGCCCCCTGTTTAAAAAGTTTGAGGATCCCTGGTTTTTAAGTTCAATTTATTCTGTTATCCTGTTGCAGTTTCTGTCTCTGCCTGTGTGAGTAGGTGAGAAGATGTTGGCTTCCACACATAGAAATGGTACATTTTCCCTTATTTCTCTTTCTTTCTTTCTTTTTTTTTTTTTTTTTTGTGGTTTTTGGCCAGGGCTGGATTTGAAACTGTCACCTCTGGCATGGGGCTGGCGCCTTACTCCTTTGAGCCACAGGTGCCACCCTATTTCTCCTCCTTTTTGAGATGGAGTCTTACTCTGTTGCCTAGGTTGGAGTGTCATGGCATGATCATGGCTCACTGTAACCTCAAACTCCCAGGCTCAAATGGTCTTCCTGCCTCAGGCTCCCAAGCAGCTGAAACTACAATGTGCACCTCCCTGCCTGGCTAATTGTTTTTTTTTTTTTTTTTTAAGTGGGATCCCCTTACATTGCCCAAATTCGTCTCATAATCCTGGCCTCAACTAATCTTGGTGCCTTGCTCTCCCATAGTGCTGAGCTTACTCAGACAGGTGTGAGCCATTGTGCTAGGCCCCCTTCTTCTTATCTGTGTTCTTTAAAAAATTTAGAACCAGCTGTATTAGTAGTCCATTTGTTTTTGGACAGAGAATGTGGACCCTTGGTTTCTTGAATTTCAAGCGAGCTGAATCATTCGTAGACTCATGGAGGTACATTAACTTATGAGCAGACTGTTTTATCATATGTGATCTTTGCAGTAATACTTTGTATTATTATATGGAGATACATGCTACAAAAATACTTTTAAAAGAAGTGTGTAATCTTAAATCTGAACGATAATTGGCCTAAATTATTTTTTATCATGTTGTTTTAAATTAAATGCTGTATAGATGGACTTGGTTATGCTGGTAGGAATGATCAGAAGGAGTCAGAGGGGATCAGAAGTTAAGGTGCCAGACAGCAACTGGGATAGGAAGGCAGGCATGTAAATTTTAAAGTTTTGGTATTTTTCAGAGGACTGGAATCTTGCAAGTCAGAAAGTCATTTAAATTACCAGGGGTAACCAGCTCATAGAATTCAAGATGTTCAATAATGACTCTGTGTGGGAGGTGAGTGAGGTATTGATCCAGATAAGAGCACCAACTGTCTCAACAAAGGACTGACTTTCAAACGTGAGGCAATGACATTTCAGAAGGTTCCTTGGTATGTTTCCTGCTCCAGAGCAGAAACTATTTGGGAAGCGAATATAGTAGTTTGACTGGATCCTGACTGGAGCAGGGACTGAGTTTCTGATTAAAAGTGCAGACTTAGTGGTTTTAAGTGGGAAAAATAAATGAGTGAGGCAGTTTCAGGTGTGATTGGAAGAGGAGGAAAGGAGTGACCACTTACTGCATGCTGAAGGCTGCTAGAAAGGAGAGTTCATGGTCACACCAGTGCAGTGACACCCACAGATACCTACAGAAGTTATTTCACTCTAAGGCCAGTATAAACTTACCCTGCTTACCTCAGGTAGGTCCAGCCTATCTGTGTAGATGCCTTTCTTCCAAGATCTCGTTACAAGCGAGGTCATAAGCTATCTGTGAATTTGTCTACTATACTGTTTCTGAGGACTTTATCCTTATTTTCCCAACTTGGGCTCTCTTCTTTGCTTGTACCTGTACACTTGGTTTAAATACTGATTTTTATCCTTACCTTTATAATGAGATTCCTTTTTTGGTGTCCTTCTAATCCCCAGAAGCACTGCTTTGATTTCTCCTCCTCCTTGCTCCCTCTGGCTTGGCCTGATGCCCCAGGCCCGGCCTGCCTTTCTCTGGCAGTGTCGGTGTGCTCTTTTCTCCCCTTTGATAGTTGGTACAGCCGCGCTCAGATTGCAGTGTTTGTCTTTATGAATCACTGTCCATCACCGCCTTCCTGGGTCCCGGCCCTTCCTGCTCTGGTCAGCTCCACTGCCATTCATAAAGTGGGGCAAAGGTGGAAAGATCATCCCTGAGGTTGTGTCAGTACCGGGCAATTACTCTATAAAGAGATGAGAGATAGCTGTACAGCGTGTTTGTCCTTGCTCATGATTCAAAATACATTCTTTCATTTTTCATAGAAGTACCTAGTAGCAAAGTGCTAGTGCAGCATTCACAAAATGTTCGCGGAATGGGAAGGCTAATAACATTGATCATAAATCTGCTACTGCAGAAATCAGAGTGAATTAATAATCAGGGGTTACTTGGTTTTTAGTTTACCCAAATCTCTGAAGAAATTCATTTGTGCTTAAGTGAGAATATTTGTGTAACTTTATCCTTTTCAGTTCTGATGGCCTTGAACTTCACTGCAGGCAAAAATTCAAAAATAATTCACAGGACTACTCTATTTTGGTGTTGAATAAAAGCAGTTTAAAAAAGACAAAGCATCTTATGTTTGACTTACTACTTGACTGCATTCCCAGGAATGTAGTTTGTATAGACTAATGTTAGATTTCCTATTTTCCAGAGGTATAGGCATACGAATGACAGAACCAGTATATCTCAGCCCTTCATTTGACAATGTACTGCCCAGTTACTTATTTTTACAGGTAAGAATTGATAAATGTAAAATATTTACTTTTTACTTATTATTTCCTTATAAAATATTTTTAAATATTTTATTTATGACACAAACACATATCAGTGAGTTATTTGGAAACTTTTTTTTTTTTTTTTTTTTTT